TACTCAGAGAGTGGAAAGAGAGCCACCATCCCTCTCCCCCTGACCGTCTAACGAGATCCTCTATCTCTGACACCCAGCTCTGTCACCCAGAACAAAGCCTCTTCTCAGACAGAGAGGCAAGCAGACTGACGGCTCCGCAGAGGCTGGAGAGAGGAGCGCAAGCCGGTAGGGGAGGAGGCGAGGCGCCTGTGCCAGAGGGATTTATTTCCTGCCCTGACAGGTCGCTTTTTTTTTTCAAGGTGGGCAGATGGATTTTTCACCTCTTGAAGCACAGTTCCAGCAACTAGTGAAAAGACAGGGTGTTATTTTAATAGTCTCTGACAGGTCATCTCTGGAGTGTGCTTCAAGTTAACATGTCAGCTGGTGTGAGGATCATGCCAGTGTGTGTAGCAACATATAACTTTACATAATCTGGAAAATATTCAGTGCAAACAACGGTTTTGTTTCACGCGAATTAATGAGAAAGCTGTAATTCATGTTCCATGCATCACAGTCGTTTAACAACACTGATACCAGGAGATAAAGGCATACTTTAGCAATGCATTAAAGATAACAGACATCTAACTTTTCATGAGACTGCTCTATTCTGATAATATCCCCACGGTGACATGAGGCAATTAATTGCATCAACACAGCAAAAACAGAAGTAGCACTCATGGCTGGTTTTAACTTCAGACTCATGTGGTTTTATCTGTTTCTACAGCTGAGGGGGTTTTAGTTTTAATGTGAGAAAATGCCAGATGGGCATAGAATTAGTCCACAATATGACTGGAGGGCCGTTCATTTCATGCCATCATTTCTCCTTCATCAGTCGCCCATTCTGCCATATTTGTCCTCGCTTTTCAATTAAAGCAGAGTCTAAATTTGATTGTTGGGGAGTGTTATACGGAGAAGTGGCCAAGATGTCACTAGTCAGGCTTCCATCCACATGAAGCGAAAACTAAAGGCTTTATAGAAAAGAAAGAATTTATAGAAAACCAGCAAAAGGTGGCGCTAATTCTTCAATGAGACGGCATTAAACCATTACAGAAGAAGAGTGCGCCGAGATGACGGGAATTAAAATAACCAAAAATGTGACATAAATATGGAATTACTGTTTAATTTATTAATTTGAGGATGGTCTACAGTCTTCCACACAGATCTGATGATTTAGCTGCCTCTATTTTTAGTCTCTTCTGAAGTGGAAGCATTTTCATCCAGCTGTTCTTATGCACAAACTGAAAATGCCCATAAAAACAGCTGGATGGAAACGCACCTGCTGCTTTAATGCCCGTCTGCGGTAAAAGCAACTGGACTGCAGCCAGACAACAGAATCCCAGAGAGGAGTGAAATTGATGTGTTACAGTAGTTTAGCAGCTACTTATTCTGTTAACCCTCAATTTAAGGAGAAAGAGATCTTAATTAAATTCCTCTTCACCACTGTTTTGGGAACACCATATCAGTTATAAAAAAGGGGGGATTACACTTTTAAGAAATCAGTGATGGAAGATGCATTAAAATCAC